CTTACTTACCTACCTACCTACTACTACTACTCTCTCTCTCTCTCTCTCTCTCTCTCTCTCTCTCTCTCTCTCTCTCTCTCTCTCCAAAATGCCTCTTTTTATGTGGCTCAGGTGGCCTAAAGCAAAGCACGTGCTTAGGTAGCGCATTTTTCCCACAAGAGAAACAACAAGCATTTTGAGTTTTCTCTGTCATCAAGAATAACACTAACATCTCTCTCTAATCTACCTTGCTCGTGTCAAATGCTTCAATAAATATTTCGGCTTTGTGCACTTACTATTTAGCTGTTGGGAATACCTGATTGCCAGATTCTCTTTACATATTCGATTGTTGTTGGGAATACCTTCACATTGGATTCTTTTTAACTTATTTGATTTTTATTTATTGAATTTCATTTTTTTATTTTTGGGTGGGGTTTATTAGCTACAACAATCACTATTAAATTCAAAATGTCACAAGAATCTATTCTCTCTATGTATTTTGGATCAGTGATTTAAAAGCCGGACCGCCTAGCGGCAGCGCCTAGGCGGTCTAGGAGACCTGGGCGCATCGCCCAGGCCTAGGCAGCAAAAAGGGACAGATATCCCTGGGCACCCTCTTAGGCACCCAGCGCCTACCCCTGGGCGGGCAGCGCCCCGTCCAAAGGCAGAATAGCCACTCATTGATGGCATTTTTTGTTATTTTTTTTAATACTAAAAGAGCAAAATTGTGGGTTTTAGGTTCATTTGAAACCTAAAACTCATTAGAGCCTATTTTAGAGAGGAAAAAACCCCAAAAAACTAGTTTTTCATGATTTTCATAGGATTGAAGGGTTTCTCAAAGTTTGAGAAATTGATCAAAGCATCACTCATTGATTTTAAATTTAATTTTGGATGTTTTTATAAATTTATTAGAGGGTTTTTTAGAAGATTTTGAGTCATTGGAAACATCTTAAAGGTGGAAGTTTGGAGATCGAGCAATCAAAGTTGGTAATTTTTTTTTTATTGCTTATATAAGTTGTTTACTATACTTTCGAATTTTGAGGTGCCCTAAATCCCTAATTCTTATGTTTTATACAATTATGCTTGTACTATTCATTTTTCTTTCTACTAGGCCGCCGAGGTTCTAGACGCCCGCCTAGACACTGGGCGACCTGGACCCCCCAAGGCCGCCTAGGACCCACCTAGGTTGAAACACTGGTTTGGATTGATTCAGATGGCATGATAAATAGTTTTGAGTGTTGAGGCGGGTTTTTCTTTGAACATATTTCTTTATCGATTTGGATAACTGATACACGAAGATAAATTGTTGATTGTGAAATTAATGTAATGGCCAGATCCAGCCAATTCTCCTATCTAGACCGTCGATCTGCCAATCCAATGCAGTTTTCCAGATAAACAATCCGGGTCACCGATCCATTTTCATGTTAGTGCCACAAAGGGGTGGGACCCATCCACACCGGGAACTTAGCTAAAAACTACTACTTGTACTACCAAAACCAACACCACCACCACAACTACTACTAAAACTACTATGACTCCTACTACTACTACTACAGTTGCTACAGCTGCTGCTAACTAGTGTTGCTACCACTGCCTCTACTGCTACTCCTACTACTCATTTGTGCTACTGCTAGTGCTATTTCGACTACTACTTTTGCTACCCTTGTTGCTAATGCTTTTCTTACTACTGCTACTACTACTACTACTACTAATAACTGATTATCATAGAAAAGGAAACTACCAACGATAATTGTTGAAGATGACGGCGAGAGTGGGAACAGCAGATCCTTTCTTAAAAAGAATTCCCTGATTTGGGAGAACCATGAATGCACCCCTACAACAAGTATATAAAAATCAAAGAAATTTAAAAAATTAGAGATTAACCGCAATGTTTTTTTGAAAAATATTTAGATGCAAAATTAGCATATATCTTTGTTTATATTTCAATAAATTTATTTATATAAAATGTTTTGTTTTTGCGACAGGTTACATAGGAATGGAACTTGAGACGTTGAGCCATGAAAACCTAGCCTCTACCATCTTGACCCAAGCAGGGTTCTGATTATTTATACAAAATGTTGAGAGTCATCATCATCGTCAAAGCCTTTTCCAAATTAATTGGGGTCGGCTTGTTCCAACCAACTAATGAAAAGTGGGATAGCTTATCAAAATCAAATGTGTTCGACCTAGGAAAGGCCTCTTCTCCACAATGTACAAACTAAAATAAATTTATTGGTTTCTTCAATGGCAAGGCAAGATTTTCGAATTACCTTCAACTTCTAGAGCAGATCTTTTCATTGCTAAAGAATTTGGAAATATAAAATCTTATTGGACTATTTAAATTTGAAAACCCAAACAAAATTGTGCAAGGACGTGCTCCAAGCATGACAGGTGATCAACCAGTCAAACTGTGCAATTACCAATTCATATGGGGAAGTTCCTGCCTCGGCCCTTTATGTTCTAGGAACTTTGCCAAACCAGGCAGGGATCCAATTCAACCAAATATTTGGCATGTTCCACATTTAATAACATTGGCCAAAGAAATAAGAGTAAGAGGGAAAGAAAGGGAAAGAGAACTCGTACAATTTTGCTATCCTTTTCTTCTGCTCCTCAGAAGGCGGAGGGGGTACATATGACGCAGCATCAATGATTGCCTGTAAGAAATATGGATTACAATATATCCAATATCACATGGACCAAACTGTCTAGTAAACCTAATATCCACATATATGGTCCCAAATATAGTCTCTCAAAGGGGAAAAAAAGAAAAAGGATATCAACTTGCATGTAGAAGTCATAGCTCGATTTGAAGTCGTGTAAGAATTCTTCAACACAGATATCTTTTAACATTGAAAGCATACATTCATGTTCTCCATCATTGTCATATATATGACCAATATTCATCTAATTATCATGGTGTGTGAGAATTTTTTTTCTGTTAACTATAAAGGATAAGCTGGTACCCTCCATATTTTCACAAATGACTAAAATGCCACCATTTGTTCGGAAGCCAAAAATTATAAAAATAACTTGAGCATCATGGGAATCAAGAGTACCCAAGATAATTAACAAGCACCATTTTCCCATGGAACATTTTAGCATTTCTTCAGCTTATAAGTTCAAAAAATTTTCTTTGTTCACTGACATTCTTTCATGCCTTGTATTTTACTTCAATTATGGCAAAACCTACAAACAGATACTGAAGGACATACCAATTGAACGGAAAATGCACACTGTTTTCTGCCTAATGGAAATGTTATTGACAGTCTTTCTTTTTCCCTCTAAGAAATTTATCCTCTCTACTGATTTTGGATCACTAGATAAGGCCCAAGTCATCTAGCAACACATAAATATATTACCATCTTTTGAATACTCGAACAATAGTAGACTAAAAGCAAACTTATTTGCTTTTAGCCAGGTATGTTGATTTCTTTTTACATTAATTCACTCCCTCATACATTTTCCAAGTAAAGGAGGCGTTAAATATACTAACATGGGACAGAAGCAATCCGGTGTTTGGAAGAGTGGACTGAGGCTACACCAGGCATTAACCCCATAAGAAAAAAAAAGGCATAGCAGCTTTTTCCAAAAGGATCTATTTTTCTGGGGGGTTCAACAACTATACAAAGAAACTCTTATGCAGATTACCAAACTTGGCTAATCCTGACGCATTGTTCATAGATTTCCCTCAGTTCTTTACACTTATTTCTTCAGGTTATTATCTAACACATCACCGAGAAGTACATCGCTAAGTAAGGAAATGGAAATTCTAGAGAAAAAAAACACCGATACAAAAAATTGGTTTACCTGTAGTTTTTCCAGAGCATCTTCAATGTTACCCCTGGAGAAGTAGGTAAAATGAGACTACTTGCATCTACCACAGGTCAAGAGAGAAAGTAACAACAGAAAATAGAGAACAGAAATTCACTTCTGGGTTCTTGTCTTTGTTGATGAGATGACAAGTTCTCCATCTTTGTTGATGCGATTTTTTTCCTGTTCAGAACAACCAGGGACAAACCTCTAATTAGTTATAAACATAGTCCCAATACTTAATAATAGACCCAAACATCTCATAGAGCATGTTTCAATAAACACATGCGGAGAAAACTAGAAATGTACATAGATAAATTGAGAAACATTCCCCAAAGGATGGCTCTCACATTGAGAAACTTCAGTGACAGACCATTTGCAAGATTCTCTCTCTAACACGGTCACTGAGCCAGTATGCGCCTTTCACATTGAATCGCATGTCAACCTTAGTATTTACTGCAAAAGTTTACATACCATTTATCAATGGTATTCTAGTCTTCACAAACCATTTAATCAACCGTTATCAAATTTCAATTTTAAATAATCTTTGGAACCAGAAATTTATCAATCAAACACTGGACCGAACTTCAGATTGATGAAACAAAAAGAAAACAGAGCAAACTTCCAAAACGAGATTTATGAATCAATCATACGGTGGAAGTTTGTAATTGTAAGCCAGGAAGTAATTAATCAATATTATTTAACTTCAATAAATGAACTCAATGAAATAATATAATTATATCAAAATTCCATCAAAGACATTCAAATATCAATCAAGTTCATCTAGTGCTCAGACCACATTCCTGCAGTTTTTAATGTACATAAATCAGCCTTTTAGCCCTTTCTGGCTGATAAGCATGGTGTAACAAATAATATTGATGTCTTTTTCTCGTAGTTATCAGGATCCCCTAATTTAGGTGTCGCTCCAGCTCCAGGATCTCGTTCCAATGCTCCTAGATAGGGATCTCCATGTGATCTCGATCCCCACCTTTTGCGATATCGATCCCCACATCTTAGGATGACTCCTAGCCACTCAAGGGGGCAAGAAGAGGCCTAGATGATCCATTCATTTGGATACTCTCTCTCTCTCTCTCT